GGGGGGGGGAACCTTATGACTACCAGCTTTTCAGGAAGAACAGTTGCTTGAATACGTGAGGACATGTAGCACAACAATCGAGTTAAAAAACAAAAAAGTAAATGACGTTGTGTAGTTTTTCTTGGTTCCTGATGAGTCAACAGATGTTACCAAGAATGCCCTGTTGTTGTTTAAAGAAGTCAATACCAAAATCAGCCTATATGAATAATACACATCGAACTAGGGAAGAGTATTTTCTAAAAGTGCAGAAAACACCGATTCAAAACAACCTGAAGTAGAATCTGCTAAGGCATGTTGCAACTGATGGTAGTAAAAATATGTGTGAAGCATACAAAAGCTTAGTTGGACAAAGTGACAAAGCGACAAAGCCTGCCAGATGTCTAAAGTCCATCACTGCACACAGTACTATTCATCAGCGGATATTCGGTGGAATATATTTGAGTTCATCATGTTAACCAACTGGTGGTACTAAAAAGTAGTCCCTCTTAAGACTCTTAACTTTAATCAATTCCATTAAGTTTTGACCGAAATAGAAGCTGAATACCCTGATTTGCTCAACTGTGCAGCATTTTGGTAATGGCAACTTTTAAGAATTGCAATTCTTGATCTCTACCAAGACTGAAATCGTTAGGAACAAGAACATCACCTACTATTATCAGACATTGAATGGCTCTGGAAATTAGTGTTGGCTGCAGAAGTGATGTTTCTTAGTAAATTCAACCAAAAGTTACAAGGCAAAACAGCACTTACATGTGAAATTGACACTGCAACAAGGTTATTTTGATGATAATTAATGCTGTTTAAATAAAAAGTAATGTCAAGCTGCTTTGTACACTTCCTTTGCTGTCAAGTTAAACCAATAAGCAAGATCTCTATTTCCACACAGAGCTGCAGAGGACATACTTTCCAAACTCAATCATAGTTCCAGCTGCATTTTTGGACCTCAACCCAAGTGCAAAGGACATTTTTATAGTTTAATATCAATTTAACTGAGTAATCAAAGAGTATCCTCTCCTATTCAACAGAAAGTGATTGATCTGCAATATAAGTACAAGTTAAAAGGGAAATGTCAATACCACAATCTAATTTCAGAGGTACCTTCCAAAGGATGACCATGTTCTATTAAAATCAAGCACTTAAGGGTTGATAACAGTATTTCGTAGTATCTACATGTATAGAGAGACATTTTCAAAGTACAACAGAAAATCTCACATCACAGTTAACCATGAATAGATGATTATGTGCAACCAATTTTGAACCATTATTTAGTGAAATATTATCCTCACAAAATACTTCAATTCTTATCATTAGTATACCAATATTATTAGAAAAAAATTGTATTCAAGTGTCAATGTATTTTTGAATTTTAGCAATAAAATAGATGCAGAAATATGTTTTCATTCTTATTACATAAGTATATACAAACCTCAGTCTTGCCACTTGGCCCACAAAGCTTAAACTTTTACACACACACACACACACACACACACACACACACACACACACATTTGCCAATCCCTAGTCTGGAGAAGTACCAGTGTTTGTCCATGGAAGTAAAATCACAGAATAGTAAGCATCTCTAACCAACTGTTCTTTCTAAAAAACCACCTGCTAGATATATCTTCACTTACACACACACATACCCATTGATTATGATCTAGATATTCTTACGAAAAAGATTTCCTAAGAAAGCGTATGAGGGTCTGTATTGAAGCTGGGCAGAGAATAAACTAGTTATCCTGAACATTAGCAAAGCTTTATAATTCCATTTACTTGTCCTCTAGTAGAAAAACCCAATTCTATCACCAAAGCCCTGAAAAGGTAAACAAAATCATGCCAAATGAAGTACTTGTGACCTCCTCCCTTTTTACCTAAGTGCCAGACATTCTGCAAATGCATTGATTAGAAGTCATTTTTTAATATTCAAATTTATACCGTTCTCAATAACGTTTCCTAATTTGAAACAGGTATGCCTCATGCTGTATTGTTTCTGTCAGTACGACAGTGGGCAGCTGTTCATTTTGCCTGTTGAGTATGCTATTCATTCTCCTTCTGATAACGATGTCCTCACTTCCTTTTGGGTAACAATCCTTCTACTCCTGTGTTTTCTGAAGCCTGACCCATGCATGACTAAGGCTCCACAATACGGAGAGCACATCCCATGGTCCACAGTAAGCAAGCCGGGCAGACATGCAAACCAGTGGGGCACACGAACACCTCTGTGAGAATGCTGTTGGAACTGCTGAGAAAAATGAACCTCTGTTTCGCTCTCCACCACAGAGTGAGCGTCTCAAGCTACGGGGCCACCACTTCACTTTCACACGTGGAAAGTCAACCTGCCGGTGCTGCCAGCAGGGTGGAAGGCAAACCTGGAGATGGAGAGGAAGAGACTCCTGTCTGCACGCCAGGACCAAGCCCTGCCTGTCACTAGACTCCATTTAAACAAGGTAATGTCTACTGCTATGACTAAAGCAAAGTCGTTTCTGTTACTTGCAATTCAAAGGATCCCAGGAATGAAACTACACGATTGCTCTGACTGGAAGCACAATCTCAAGGCAACTTTTTCAAGATAAGGTCTCCTAACAGTATGCTCACCTCCGAACCTTCTGCTCCCAATGACTCTTGTGCTCAGTGACACGGTGCCTGGGCTGAGTGGAGGCCGCTTTGCCCTATTCTACTTGTAGCACCCCTCTGCAAGTGCAGTGTCATTAATGCCATCTGTAAAACCCTCAAAACATCAGACTGCAGGGATGACCGAAATACTGTCACAAAGACGTCCTTTCCATTTGCAATGACTTTTAAAGTCATACACTTAAAATTGATTACTAATGCTTAATCTCTGTGAACGTAAGAGCATATGGTTTCATTCTCAAAAAAGGAATCAAGTGATTCTGTTTATCTCCCTTAGTTTATCAGAAGTCATTAGCTTTAATTAATTGTTCCAGTAAGTAGTTCAGAGAGGTGTAAAATAAATAAATAAAAAACATTAGAGACACTTTAGATCCTTCTTGGTGTGTGCTCTTTATGACTGAGTTCCAACAAAACCAAACGAAAACATAATGGGAGCATGCAGGGGCTCTTCAAAAAGTTCGTGGAAAAGGCATACAATGGAAAAGAATTATATGTGGATTTCAAAGTTCTTTTGCACCAAAATGAACTCATACTTTCAGTCCGCTTTTCACAAACTTCTTGAAATCTCCTCATATTAGTTTAGCTCTGCTTCTCGCATGTAACAGACTAAATGAACAGAACTTTAAAAATGTGTCTTCAATTAGTGAGTGACATTAATTTAATCCGGATTAGAGGAAAGGGGAAAGAGAAGGTTTAAAAAAAACTACCTTTATTTTTAATTTCTTTTTCAGTTACATACTTTTAAACAGGGATGTGTTTCATTATTCAGACATTCAGGCAACGTTGACTTCGTTAGTGTTGACAGAAAAGAAGCATAAAAATGCAAAACATTGTTGGCTTAACCTGAACATACCTGCATTACCTAGTATCGACCAGTTTGTGTTGCCAAAAGACTTACTCCTTGGTATTAAAATGGAGCACTTAAAAATATTGCTAAAAAGCAAATGTCTACACACTGGTCTTTGCAGCAAATAAGGGTATTTATACTTTTAAAATATCTTAAGTCCATAATTGGATTAATATACACACCTTCTTATGTATAAGGAGTTCAGATCATATAAACACTGTACAGTCCAAAAAACCCTACTGAGAAGAAAACTAAATAGGCTTATGATAAGAAATACAGATATCGCATGTATTTACAAATATCATAGACACATCAATTTGGTCAAATACTGTAAAGAAAGAAGTGGTTTCACATTATAGTAGCCGAAAGAAACATCCATCTACCTTGCTCAAAGCAAACAAAAATAAAAACTCAGTACGGAACTCTGTAGTCGAAGACAACACGACAGTAGGCCAACAATGGAAACTGGCAACCCAGCTATACAGCACCTGTTTCTGTGCTGCGTGTGAGTCTTTAAAATCAAGAAGAGATCACTTGTAGGATTCAGAGCAACAATGACAGTCACTGCCCTGATCTTGGTGTTCATCCGGGTGCCTAATTCATCAGACACGATGCACTGAATTTTTGGCTAATAAGAAAAATAACTTATAAAGTATAATTAAATCCTTGTAGACACAAAAATGAAATTTAAAAATGTGATTTACTTTAATACACATTTAAAATGTTACCTTGAGACAATAAAAATAAATAGGTATGCCTGGAGGCATAGACTCAAAGACAAGAGACTACGTGGAAGGAGTGTTTTATAAATAGAAGGTAAATTTGAGAGTTAATCGACGTAATTATTTTTCGAGCCGGTCTTTTTTTTTTTTTCCTTTTCTTTTTTTTTTTTTCCTTAACCCTTTTTTGAAAATTCTGGCAAGCAGAATCTGACAAAAGTACACCTGTGTCTTTATGGCTTAAAGCAACGCGCACTTGAAGAGTGGGATGAAGTGTTTTCACAGAACTGTTACTCTCTTCATACCCAGGCACTTCAAAAGACTATGGAGGCAAAGCACCTGACCCACCCTCTCCAAAACACTTTTCAATCATCAAAATTATGCTAAAGAGTAGGAAAATTCCAGAGAACCAGCAAAGTTGAATACAAGAGACGAATGTGCTCATAGGGCAATAGAGTGACCCAGTTTTTATTGCTGGGGGTCTTTTTTTTTTTTTATCAAAAAGCAAAATAATTAATAAACAGACACCATTGCATGGCACATCCCAAGTTTTTGCTCAAGGAAGAGTGTAACCATTCAGCAGTAAGTTTCAGCGGGACCTCCTCGGGCTTCGACCTTACACATTGCAATGAGGTTCACATTTATTCTTCTCTTTAGTGTACGTACTTCTTAAAAACTCCAACATACATCACTTCTCAAAGGACTCGTTTCTTGCTGTCTAACATACATTATTATCTGGAAGCATAATGTTAACATTATACAAATATTCTGCATTTTTAAAAAATAAGCGCTTTTGCCACCTCTGCAGCACGGTGCTTGGTGTCTGGTTACAAGAGCAGAGATCACATTTACCACGCGGCTCGTGACTCGTTTCCCACTTCCATCTGCGGGGCCCACAGAACGTGTTCCTCAGTGCCTCTGGGCAGTGACTGTGCCACGATTTCACAGAGAGGATGTTAATATGATTCACAAATAACAGTACCATCAATAATACTGAAATCAACGCAGATGTCACCAAATAGGAACTTCTCAAGGAAAAAGCTTTCTCTTAAATGTGTTCTCTGTTGCGTTATCCGCTGGGAAGAAAATTCCTGTGTAATTATGCTCTTTCAGAAGTTATAAAAAAAAAAAAACAGATTAGATTTATAGCTGGTTGACATTTACAATACGATACTGCTTTCTACAACAGGAGAGGAGCTTCTGAAAAACGCTCTACGGGGCTGCACTCGCCAACACCGCCTCACTGGTCCACTCCCGTCGGATGGGCAGAGCACTCGTGTTTTGACAAAACTTTAAAGCTTCCGTAAAAGTTAAATTAGAAAACAATATGAATGTAAGACAACCACAGAATGAAGTATGAAAGTATGACAGTTTTGTTTCTAAGAGCGAGTCCTTGAAAATATATGTGGTCACGACAGAGAGGATCTCGATCACAAGACGGCGGATGAACATGGACGAAGCTCCCCGCGGTCTGTCTGTGTCCAGAGTCACTTGTGGCGCTGTATGGTTTTCCTTTTCCTTCTTTTGAAAAAACAGCAGCACCTGCGAATAAGAGAAATATTCCTTTAAATATAAACGTCCTAAGATGTCACAGAGTAAGCTGGATCTACTGCATTAACCTGCGTGGTCATGCCAAGCAATGGACTTAGGGCCAGATACACCATGAACGCCCCCAGGAACTACCGTGAGTGAGACTACGGCAGAGCTGTGACTGTCCCGGCTCATCAACAGGCCTTTTAGGAAGCGCAATATGAAAAATTCCAAAAGTCCTAGCGCCAAGACAGAGAAGCTCTGATGCGGAATCCTGGCTGACGCACCGGCACGCTGTAGGTGGGTGCTCCGCCATCTCTGCCTGCCTCCACGGAAGCCTCCTACGCATTTCCTTCCTTTCTCCCCTGAAATGTCCACAGACTGCTCAAGTCATGACTAGGGAGGCAATGATGATCCTAATACCGGGACCTTATCGGCACCAAACCAGTTTAGATTTAAATAATCACTTTAAAAATATTTTTAAAAAGAAGAAAATTAAATTAGACACAGCGCTTTTTAAAAGCACACCAAATAATACGCAATAACTAGACCATGGAATGTAAATGATTCAAAATTATGTATCAGCTGATAAAAATTCAATGGCAAAGAATTGAAAAATCCCAAACAGGAGGAGAGGGACGACATAAAAGAGAATGTCGAGACTGGTACCTTGTAATTCCGTAAGGGTTAAGAAAGGTCAAATTTATTGTAAGTCATTTTAATTAAGGTAAAAATCACACTTAACATAGTGGAACAGATTCTGTTTTGTAATTAAAAACAATATATTCAAAACAACACAGTCCTGATTTTTATTACTACGTGAGGAATAAAAATTGATTTCGGGGACCAGCAGTTGGCGTAATGGCTATGTCGCTGGACTCCCATAGTCAACAGCTGTTCAAGTCCCGGACCCGGTGGCTTAAACTCTGGGCGTGTGCGTGCGTGCCCAAGATCCTGAGAGAATGGAGGAGGAGGGATTGCAGCATGGCCATCCCCCCTGGGGGGTGATTTCTTGCTTTCTGTCTCTCTGTCTCTCTCCGTCTTTCTGGCGAGTGCACGTACCCTATGGTAAAAACCTCTCAAAAAGAAAAAATTTTTTAAAAATTGATTTCTGTGATGGTAAATTCTCCTAGTCATGAGAAGAACTGCACAGCCTGGCTGCTGTAGGACAAGCTGAGCATGGTGTGAACCGGAAGTTCAGTGGGGATTACCGATCGTCTTCCACTACAAAGAACACACACACGCACGCACACACACACACACACACACACACACACATCTAGTGAACACCTGGCATTCCCTCAAATACAGGCACAAAGGTAAGGCTTCACATCAAAAGGCATGGGTTTATTCCCCTTCCATACTGAAAGAAATCGGTCTATTAGAACATCTAATGATAGGCACACCACAGAGCAAGTGCTTTTTAAAACTTCTAAACAGTCGCTTCTCTTTTTCTTTTATAAAGGATTATTTCATTTTATTTATTCATTTATTTTAATTGGACCAGAGAGAGAGAGAGCGAGAGAGCGAGCAAGCCATCAGTTCCAGGACTCAAACCATGGTCAGCCCCATGGGAGTGTCCAGCACCTTAACCACCATGTCACCGCTGGTTCCCTTGAATAGTCACTTCTAATTCTTAGGGTCAGATTTACTTTTCACAGAGGCAAAGCCTGCTTGACTATCCCTGAATTTCCCTTTGAATTCCTATGTGTATGGGTAAATCGTATCTTGCAATTAAAAAAAAAAAAAGGCATATTATTATAAATTGTAATTTCATCCCCCAAAGCTGCCAATTCAAAGCCTGTGCATAATACAGTCTTATAAAGATGTTCGTATAATTCTTATCAACCTTCTTTAATAAGAGCATATTAACTAAACATCGGAGGCTAACCACATTAGAGACCATGTAGCGTCAAATGTCCTATACAGCAAGTGGTGGTGGGAGATAAAAGAACTACGGGACGCTTTCTATCTTTCCGTGAAATAAATGTAACCAGAGATCTACACTGTGCAGCTGGAGTACACGACCTCTCTACCCACATTACCTTATGTCAAAAGTAATTCCGGATAGTTTATTATGATACATGCCAGATTACCAAACTACTACCAAGGCACCGGAAATTAAATGAAAGGGTCAGCAGGTGGTGTGGTAGTTGAGGCGCTGGACTCCCACAGGCTGGCCTGGAGGCTTGCTTTCTCACTTTCTCCCCCTCCCCTCTCTCTCTCTCTCTCTCTCTGGTAAGCATATGTGGCCTATAGCAAAAGTTAAAAATAATAATAATAAATAAAAATTAAAATAAATAATTCTTTAAAATATTTTTAAAAAGAAAATTAGACACAGCCTTTTTTTAAAGCACACCAAACAGTACACAATAACTGGACCAAAAATGTAAATTACTTAAAATTATGGACAACTGATAAAAGTTCATCTGAAAATACGTGCAAGTATGAATTTTTAGAAATTTAATTTTCACTGAGGAGACTACCCAAACTGAAATTAACTACCTAGTCAAAGCTTAGGGAAAAGCTACCACTATACAACAAGAACCTAAATGTAACGGTTTTCCTGGATTTAGAAAAAAATAAGTCAACTTTATTTTTAGCTGTTAGCTGATACCTTCTCAAATCTCAGTATGTTCTAAAACAGAAAAGCGAAACAAAACATGACTGAAGACGAATTACCCCCTAAGAGAGATCAACAGTTACTACAAAGTGAACCTGTCAATTAAAGACTTAGAAAAGAATTTTTTTAAATGCCATATGGTAGAAATAAAACATGAAAAAATTAGTACTTAGAAGAAACAGACTAAATATGTAAAATGTTAAATTTAAGACTCGTCATATGTCAATGGAAATTTATAAATTGTTGAATGCAAAATTTTTTTAATAATTTTCATTGTTTCTCAATATTGTTGTCTTTTCAAACTCTAAAATGTATTCTTACAAAAAATTTTGCACTAAAATATTCTTAAGTTACATAAGCCCTTAGGAATGAGGAATTTCACGTCACACGTTTTGATGAGCAAGCTCAGTACTAGATTTCCCATCCTTTCATTAGGAACTCACCTTGCCTACTTTATTTTTCCAGTATTTTCAGTTCTGAGAGCCAAGTTCCTCCCCTTTAAGTAACCTTTCCTTCAATACTTCAATAGCACAGCAGTGTTGAACGTAGAAAATTATGCCACACATGTATTTGAGACTAATATAATTTTCAAGTGGGTTCTCATTGTACAAGTTGCTTAAGTTCAAACATAATCCAAAAAGATGCCTACTTTTCAGAAATAAATTCCACTAAATAAAGAGCACACCCTTATGGATTGGCAAAAGTAAAGCTAGCATGCTATGAAAGCGATTACCACCAGGGGGCAGCATTGCTTTATGTGATATGAATGCATTCGAACACAACATAAAAACTCAAAATAAGATACACTTAGAAGAAGTAAATTAATATTGTAACCTCATGGCTTATTTCTTCAGATAAAAGTCATTATCAAGAGATGTGATTTATAGTCTCAGTGATTAAGAAAGGAGGTCTCATTTCAACTGTTTCCAGTTCCTAGCATTCAATCTCAGTAGCTCTCAGTCAGTCACTGTATCGCATTACTGGTCTATTTTCCTCTAATTACTTACTGCTACTTTGAAATATTTTATTTTTTTTTTACTAATTTATCTGTATGTATACTAGCAAATAAGCTTCATATGGACCTGCTCACAGATAAATCCAACAAGCTGACAGAACTTGGTACTCATTCAGTAGTTACTGAATGATGAACATCTACTTACAAAACGCAAGTAACTCCTCCAGTAAAAACCTAGTCAAAATTCTTGAGACCAGCAGGTGGCATAATGGTTACATTGCTGGACTCTCCCACATAGTCAACCGGGGTTTGAGTCAAGGACCCAGTGGCTTAAAACACGCCAGGCATGTGTATATGCGTGCCCCAAATCCTGAGAGTAGACTGGAGGAGAAGGGATTGTGGTGTGGCCATTATCCCCTCGGGGGTTATTTCTCACTTTCTGTCTCTGTCTCTCTGGTGAGCACATGAGTCCTATAGCAAAAAATCTCTCTCTAAAAAAAAAATTCTAATGCACATTCTAAAGCTGGAGTTCTTACCCATGGACCACAAATTCTAAGTGAAACCATAAAATAAAGATTTTAGTGCCTGTGTGAGGCTTTATTAGAGAAAATAAGACTCAAACCAGATTCCTAAAGGAGTCTGAACCCCAAGGTTAAGAAGCACGGCTCTCTTGATGTAACTGCCGGGTCACCTCAGCAGCTACTCGGTCCTGTGTCATAAGCCAAGCACTGTAGATACCCACGCCTTTGATGTACGAGTGTAGGTAAGCGCATAAAAAGGAAAAAAATGTAATTTTAACAATTGGTATAGTCAAAAGCAAAAAGAAATTCTACCAGAGTCAAAGGGAAAAAAAAATCCTACCAATTAATTATAAAAACTATTGCAAATAACAGTAAGTATAAATATGCCAAGAATTAGTACATACAGCAGCTCCCAGAGACAGTGTGTGCCAATTACTTTTGTCAATAAGTATAACTATCTGGTCTTAGAAAATTACCCACATGCATGAAAATTTTAAACATATATTTTCTGCTTGTGGGTCAGTGGCTATTTTCTTACACATCTGTTCATACTCATGTGGGGTCTGTTCAGAGCTACACCATTGACAACTCTGGGGAAACTGACTAGGGTCACCAGACTCTTACTAGAACTCTCTGTGTGGCTCCAATGAGCCAAATGCATTCATGCAACGTCAGGCCATGCTCTGATATGAGCGCTCACTGGCTAGCTTAGAGCTCTGAGGCTGAGCCCCTATTCCGACATCCTTTTGAAATAAATGTTAAGTTCTGCTTCTGACAAACTCCAAGGTTATTTCTTTAAATACCATTAGGCAGGAAACAGAAATCATAATGGATCCAACAATGGATCAGAGTCCTGAACTGTGCACAAAACACACACAGTGTGGGCTGACCTTGTACCACCAGTTCCCTGTTC